CTCCATTCTATATCCTTGCCTCCTTTGTCATAGATTAGTTGACCATAGGTGCATGGGTTTATCTCTGGAAGCCCACGCTCTTAACTGTCACCTGACAGTATCATGACTTCACATGGTGAGGGCTCAAGTCTGTAGCTGGATGGTCACCTCGGGGTGGAACAAAACCTATTTCCCCACCTGAGAGAGGCCTCGTGCTTTTTGGTTTGCTGCAAGTCACGATAATACAACATCATAGATGAAAACGACACAGACCCACATTTCCCAAAATTTCTATATGCAAATTTGCAACAATAATTTTGCATTGATGTAAACTTTGCACTTAAAAGTGAATTTAACTTTGATGTATTTAACAGACAAATCGCATTAAGACATTAAATCTGTAAGTCATTGTTAAAAAATAGTTTACTTATTTTAAGCAAAGAAAACTTTCCAGTCTTTGATATATGTTCTCAGAAACATAAAAATAAAATTTCTTTCCTCAGCTGTCCTTTTCCATTTCACACATATTGATCTTTCCATATGTTTTAAATAACGATGAAATTAATAGGACCTGTATTTAATAAATCCAAATCCTTTCATGTCCAAATATTTTGGGGGAGACTGAGGTGAAAAAGCTGCTTAAGTATTAGGAGAAACCGGGAACAGCTTTGGAAGAGAAGCAGAAGGCAGTGGGGAGCCGGGCGGGCCACTGGGGAAGGTGTTTGCAGGCTGGGGTGGGAGGAAAGTCTGGTAAGGAGGATTCGGAGGTGGGGCAGGACCGAGGCCAAAGCCCAGCGGAGACAAGAAGGAGAAGGAATACGACCAGGGCCTGTTTGTTTGCACAGTGTGAGTCGGGTGAGCTTATCTGTTTGGTGTGAGTCAATGGGCAAGGCAGACCGTGTGGAGTAAGCCGGGCTGCCTGTGAATTCTCACAGCCCTTTTTATGTGTGGCACTGGGCAGACGTCCTCAATATCTTTTGAGCCTTAGCTATTTATACAGCGGGTTGTGATATTTATCTAACTGAACTGCAGAGAAGAATTGATGGGACAACATCATGAGTTCCCAGCACACAGTCTGGCACTGGGATGCTGGGGAAATTAAGACCCTCCGCGCACCCCCCTGCCCAGTCCCCCCCCCCAGACACAAAGCAGCAGGACAGAATGAAGCCAGCTGGAAGACCCCTTCACAGGCAGTCTGGGCAGTCCTGCACGTCATCCTGAATCTTATTCATAATTTATAGTTATTTCCGAAAGTTTTTATGATCCTAAATATTTTCTAAATCAGTAACAGAATCAAATTTTTAAAAGTTCATAGTCAAGGAAGAATAAAGCCATTTCAAAGCGTTTTCTCAATCATACTAATAAACTGTAAACTTCCACTGTACACGTACTGTGGGAAATACTACTCGGTAAGGCCCCTGTTTTACCTATGACATTGTTGAGTGACTGGAATAGCTAAAACTGGTCCAATCGGGCTTCCCTGGTGGCGCAGTGGTTGAGAGTCCGCCTGCCGATGCAGGGGACACGGGTTCGTGCCCTGGTCCAGGAAGATCCCACATGCCGCGGAGCGGCTGCACCCGTGAACCATGGCCGCTAAGCCTGCGCGTCCGGAGCCTGTGCTCCGCAAAGGGAGAGGCCACAACAGTGAGGGGCCCACGTACCGCAAAAAACAAAACAAAACAAAACAAAAAAAACTGGTCCAAGCAACATTGAGAACAGTTGGTTTGGAATATGCTACATTTTGAATTCTGGCTGTTTGCTATACGTATTATTACTTTCTAAAATATAGAAATAACTGTATTTATTTAAATAATTAATTTGCTATCATATTAGATGAAATTGTGATTTTATATGATTGTAACACAACACAATCATACCTGTTTTACAATTTTTTTCTTTTAACGAGAAGAAATCTTCAATTACTATAAGCACTCTTACATTTGGAATAAAGATATTTGACATTTTAGATCTTACTTCTAATTCAACACTTTATTAGTCACCACTGGCATGATTTTGCTACTCTCAGATCTACGAAAGCATCTGTAAAGCGGCCAGGCCACAGCACCGAGCTCCCACAGCGCTGGGTCTCCCAGCAGTTCTAAGGCTCAGTGTGGTCCATGAACCAGGCAGCCAAGAGTCCTGCAGACAAGGGTGCCACCCAGAGGCCAAAGGAGGAAATTCACTTTGGATTTTGTTGGAAGACAAAATTATAAATATTAAAAATCTAAAAATGATTTGCTATTACTTATTAAAAAATAAGGAACATTTTAACAAGGTTCTCTCTGCAGGAACGAAGGCTTTTAGTGCCAGGCTACGTAGAAGTGTAGCTCTTTGAAAACTCTCACAAGATGGAAACAGCCCTGAGATGGTCCGAGTTGCAGGTGCACAGTGCATCAACTAAAACATTGAATTTAACTCTATTCTCTAGAGCAAATGCTTTCTTTTCTTATAATTAATATAACATGTGTTTCCAGAAGTCATGTAAGTTCTGGAGCAACCACCATGACCTGTTTAGACATGTGGACCAAAAGTTAAACTAATTACCGGAGACATTTCTTACTTAAATGAGAAAAGTTTCTTTCATTAGAAAGCCTTCTGTGTAATTTTCTTCTGGCACAGGAATAAAGTTTATTTAGAGTAGTTCTGTTTGGCAGACAGTCAGGGCTTCTAAAACATATACCAATAATTGTTAAGGTTAAAGCAAAACAGTCAATTCTATGAAACGCATAACAACTCAAGCTTCTAATGGTCGAAACAGTAGGCTGATTAGAAAATAGAGATTTATGATATCCCCGTTTTCTCTTAGAAGTCTGAATGTTGGGACTACTGCTAGCAATGGGCCATCATTTAAGATTGACGCATTTTACAGTGAACTACAAAAGATCAAACTTAACCAAAAATAAGGGATACATTAAATGTGAAAATTATTTTAAGTATAAAATTTGAAAACTCCTTTTTCTACACTGTAAAATCCCATTTTTTAAAAAAAAATTTGTTTAGGTCTTTATTCAATTTGTTACAATATTGCTTCTGTTTTTTCTAAGTTTTGGGTTTTTGGCCATGAGGCATGTGGCATCTTAGCTCCCCAACCAGGGATCAAACCCGCACCCCCTGCATTGGAAGGCGAAATCTTAACCAGTGGACTGCCAGGGATGTCCCAAAATCCCATTTTTGAAATAATGTTTTGGGTACTCAAATGTTATACAGAGTTCATCTCATTTTATTGTTTCATTTTCACTACAACACAATTTAAAATAGAAAGAGGATTCTAAACACACCTCCTTATGTGAGTTTCTGGAAAGCTCATTCTAGAAATACTGTTTACAGCTGACTTCAAATTTTTTAAAAAATTTATTTTTTATACAGCAGGTTCTTATTAGTTATCTATTTTATACATATTACTGTATGTCAATCCCAATCTCCCAATTCTGACTTCAAATTTGTTTTTATTAAATAAGAAGATTCTACAGTTGATTATCATTTCCAAGTAGATGTTTTTCCTGCAAATCTTAGCAAAATACTGCTTTAAAGTACAGCGTTGTTAACTAAACCTTCCTCTCTTGGTTCTGTCACTGAGGGATCTCATTATTATCTGTGAGTTAATTCTCTTCCCTATTTCTACCCCTTAATCTTCCACATGCCCTGAGTTGCATCATTCTGTAAAACATGCGTCCGTCCGCAATGATGGCTGCAAAATATCTGAGCAAGGAGTACAAACAGGTCTACTTATGTGTCTCTATTTCTACATTTGTTTAGCAAATAAACAAGCCTGTGCATCTAAGTCCAGTCTCTGCTCTACAGATGTCCATTGCACACTGCTGGAATTGGAGCGAATATGACAGAGACAACCCAGTAGGACAGTATGGTTATTACTTCAGAAGGAAAGTTCAGTGGCTGAAGCTCGAAGTGTTTATCAGGGAATATTTTACAAGAGCTTTAAACAGGGCCCAAGGTAAGGCTGGCAAATCCGAAGAATGACCTCTTCCATGTATCAGAAGGTCCGTGTGTCTGCATCATATATTCAAAGCATCAAATAAAGACAGAAAGGATGGCTACTTGGTAGTTCACGAATGATTCAAGTTCACTGGTAAGTATCTACAATTTAAAGGGTAAATTCTGAAACACTCCTCAAATCTCTAATCAGTCAAGACGACTTAGTGATAAAATTAAATGCCTTCAAACCTCTTAAACCTTTCCCTTTCCTTCTTCCCATCTCCAGTGCTACCATCTTAGTTCTCGCCATTTAAAAAAAAACCATATTTCTTTAATCACTTCCTAATTAACCTCCAGGCCCAGCCTCCTACTCTACCCCACCACTGTCACATCTCTAAATCCATCCTCCAGATAGTGTCCAGAATAACCTCAGGCTTCACAAATCAACCTCTTCACTTGCCTGCTTGATATTCAGACAGCAAGTCAAAAGTCAGTGTTCCTGCCGGTCCAGGTCCTCTGCCCACCACCAGGGGACTTCCAGAGGGAGGAAGGCCGAGGGCTACAGGCTGATTGCTAGTGGCTCCTTTGGCCCTTCTGTTTCAACTTAACTACCAATCACATTTCTTTGAGAGACTCCTTATCAAGAGATGTCAGGATCCCTAATCTATAGGTGAGGTTGTTCACAAAAACATCCTAACTCCTAAAACAGTAGCTTTCAAACATTTTTAAATGACCAAAATCATTTTCTTCATACAATAGCTAATGTAGAACCCCAACAAAAAGTGGGTGAGATAAGTATTTTTGAGGCTGACAACAGGCAGACGTTAAATCATACATAACTGGACAGGCCAAGGGGTAAAATTCAAGTTTGGCTGGTGAAATGCAGAGTCAGTGGGGAGAAGCAGCTCCGGTGAGACAAGTCAGACCCACATTTCTGAAAGGCCGCTGGTGCTGCTGGGTGTAGAAGACGCGGAACTAATGAGGATTTCAACATTTTGGAGGTATTTTCATAAACCCCAATTTCACCTGCAAAGAGTGACATGCACTTTCTGAACGACAGGCCACCGCGATGGCGGAGTCCCAGATACCTGGTCCTCGCTGGTTAGTCCCAGGTGCATGACGAGGTAAAAATGCACCAGGAAGTCCGAGTTGGGCAGCACGTCCTGGCGTCGGGTCATCATGGCGCAGATCAGCTTGTAGGCTTGGAGTTTGCCTTCCTTATATGCACCAGGCAGCGTTGTCGCCTGCCAAGGAGACGTTTAGAGATTTAATCAACTCCGGATGCAGATGCATTTTGTCCATTCACTTACTTTTCAGTTTTCCATAAAGTTGTTGATGGAGATGTGGGATGGGCTGGCTGGAGTGAGATCCAGCCTGTCCTCAAAACATGCAGTCTTGGGCAATTACATTTTTTAAACTCAATTTAGGAAGGAAGAGGAAATTACAATAAAGGAATAAACACATATTCACTTGCCTTAAATAGCCATGATGCAAACATTCTGAGGGGTGGGATCAAGGCGGGAGGAGACGGAGAAGACTGGTTATCCAGGCTTATTGCTAGGTTATCCCGTATCTAATTCACAAAGAGGAGACTTTTAGGGAAGGCAACACACAGTTTATCCCAATGATACTTCAGAAACGTGCTCCATGGTCAAACAGCTGCTCCCAATTAAATTTCTGTAAGTTGAGTGAAAAGCTACAACATTTACAAGTGTTTTCTTTTATCATGAGGTCTACTGTCTTTTTGAACTGTGTGGTGGTTTTAGATCTAATACAAAACAAGGGCATTGTTTTTCCTTCAATCGTAATGCCTGGAGAGGCCTCCCTGAACTCCAAATGATAAGGAATGGTTTCACAGGTTATACTGTATAAACACGAACTGTGTTTTTGGAAAAAAAAAAAAGTACTAACATGGGGAAAATGTATGTTGTAAACAAAAACAAAAACCAGAATGAAAATTGTATGGACTCTAAGACAGTTCTTTTATAAAAATATGTTTATCCACAGAAATAAGATCATATATTAATATTGGTTTTCTCTGTGGATGGTGAGATTGTCTTCTTAGCATTTTTCTACATTCTTCCAAATTGTACAATAAAACCAGTATCACTTCATAAAGAGAGTAACTAAAACTAGTGTATAATATCCCATTCTTTAATATCCTATAGTAACAGTCTACTTGCACATTAAACAAAATAACTCTTAGGCATTTATAAAATGACCAAACTATAAGTATTATTATTTATTCTTGGATCGTCAAACGTACTTTGTCTAAATATCTAAACTTCTGTTCAGAAGTTACGTGCAACACAGTTTTTATGTCAAGTGATAAGGCAATGTTCCCGTATTAGAATAAAAGGTGATGGCAGGACTTACCTTCGCTAGCTTGTACCAGAGTTCATAGAGATAGCCAAACACTCTGGCATGGATCTTGGGTGACTGGATATTATTCACGTCTCCGAGGATTCCCAAGATTCTTCGCCATAACACGGCGGCCGAGTCTGGGTGCCAACCCGTGAGGGTCCCCCCAGCGATTATGCTACAGTCATCAGCAAGGCATTCGCTGCTATCTGTGGGGAAAGATGTGTGTTAACTCTGTAAATGCAATTTTGATTTCATTGTTACAGCCTTTTTTTCTGTCATGCAAATTACCTGTGCTTGAAAATTTACATGTTCAGAGTAAAATAAGATGAAGTGTGAAATGGCTGACAACTTGGAAGGACAGAAGGACAGAAAAGTGGGCTCCATGAGGAAAGGTTAGATGATTCTGCTCCTTTCCAACTAAAAGGACAACAGCCCAGAGATGACAGAACAGTTCCTGGAGACCCTGTGAAGGGCTTTATAAAGCAGCAGGGGGGTGGGGAGGAGAACTTGAGCAGGATAGGTAGGGAACAGGGCCATGAAAAAAGGTGGCCGGGGAGGCCTCATGGCTGGAGTGACATTTGTGGTGGCTGTTACTATTCACTCAGGTTTATGGGGGAGGTATATAGTTTGCTTATAATAAATTTTACCCTTCTTGGATTCAAGGACTTGTAAGAAAGGTATACGACGGTGTAACTGTCACCACACACTGCCACCATAATTGATACGAAATAGCCCCTTCACTCCACAAGTGCCCCTTCACAGTCAGTCCCCTCCCCGAACCTCTGTTCCAGACAACCACTGCTGTCTTTTATCCCTACATTCTGCAGTTTCCAGAATGTCCGATAAATGGAATCCTATAGTAAGCAGCTTTTCTGTCTGGTTCCTTTCACTTAGCATAATGCGTTTATTTGAGAGATTCATCCAAGGGGTTGTGTATCCACAGGTATGACAGTTTATCCACTGACCTGATGAAGGACATTGGAGAGTTTCCTGGTTTTGGTGATTATAAATAAAGCTACAATTGCATACAGGCTTTTGTGGGAACACGTTTACATTTCTCGTTTGTAAGACCAGAATCACAAACGGCACACGGTATTTCTCTGCTTGCTTCTCGCTTTTAGTGGACCACGTCTTCCTGTGGCTGCCTGAGGAAGGCGCACGTCCTCATGTCTGGAAGTCTTGGGTCCCTGACTTGTGATTCATAGTTTGGCTGGGTACAGAATTCTGTGTTGGAAAAGTGCTCACTTTCCTGTAGTTTCCTTTGTAATTTTAGAGTCAGCAGCGTTCCAATTCTGGAAATTTTTTGGGGTGAAAAATTATTAACTCTGGAGAGTTTCAACCTGTCTGAAACAGGTTGAAAAAGAGAGTTTCTCTTTTATTTGAAGCTTCAGTAAAGCTAGGAATTGTCCTCTTAATTTTAAATAACTCTATTAGAATTAACCTATTGTATTATTTTTTAATTTTATATTGTTTTTGTAGCTCTGTTCCCTTTTTCACTCCCAATATTTTTCCTTGATCTGTCTTGCCTATTGTCTATTTTACTCATGTTTTTAAAGAGTGGTCTTTGTTTTCTCTATTGCTTTCTAGTATATGTTATGTACTTAGCTTTACTAGTTCCTTTTTTGTCAACTTCTGTATATTATTCTGCTGCCATTCTTTTCCTAATATTTTGAATAAGACATTGAATAAATTAGTGTCTTTTGCTTCTAGTGTACACACCTAAGGCCACGTATTTTCCTCCATATCAGCACTCAGCTACATTTCGCTGTAGTCAATTTGAAATATTTTCCAGTTCACAATTTGATTTCTTTTTGGACTTAATTTATTTGAAATGCAGTTTTAGTTTCTTAATGTCATTTTCTTCTCTTTTCTTTTTGTTCTTCTGAATTTATTTCATCATATTCATGGAATGTAATACAGTTTCAAATCATGGACATGTTGAGGCTTGCTTAATGATCTAACTGGTCAATTTCTGTAAATGTTCCATGTGCTTTAAAAAAAAAATCTCACGTATTTTTAAATTAAGTTCAAAAAATTTTATACATATAGATCTACAATCAAGATTAATTGTATTGTGTAAATCTTCTCTATTTTAATATTTTTTCTGCTTAACTCATCTATTAATGAGAGCTGATATTAAAATTTCCTACTATGATTATGGTTTTATCAGTAGTTCCTAGTAATTCTGTCAAATTTTGCTTCATATATATCTGGAGGCTATGAAGTTCATATAAATTCAGAATTATTGCTGTCACTAATAAATGACTTCTGCTTTAAAGTTTATGTGACTAACATACACAGAGCTACACCCCTTCTTCCTATGTAACAATGTGTTTATTTATTTACTTAGGATCTCCCTGTACATTATGTATTAGGGGTACCTCTGGTAAGCATCATATGGCTGGATTTTATGTCTTCAACCTAACCCAAGAGTTTCTGAATTGAATTGCAAGTTTAAATTGTTTATTTTTATTGTAGCTGCTGATTTATTTGATTTTTATCTCTCACATCTTACTTTTGGCTTTCCGTTTAAGTCACCTCTGCTTTGCTTCTCTTTTGAATCTTTGGAGGGGGTTTAAAGAGCTGTGTCCCACCCAGACACGGTGGCAACCATTAACCACCGCTGAGCATCAGCTTGGGTGCATATATTGCTGGGGCCTAACCATAGAAATGGGAGCACAGTCTACGGATGCGAGGAGCTCAAGTAGAGGGATGAGCAGAGCCGGCAAGGACCAGGAGGAGTGGGTGGAGGAGGGACCAGGGCAAATCCAGGGCGGGCTCCGTGCGCTTTCCGCACTGTGCCCGAGACAGCTGCTGACAGCTTATTATCAATATATTCGTTATGGAAAGATGCCAAGACCCTGAAACAGAGGATTTGATACGGATGGTACATGTTGTCATGGACAGATCTTCCCAAATCCAGGAGCACTGTTCCTTCTTAGAGCAAAACACATCTGCATTTCCCACATCTGTATCATACAATCAACTGAGGTGACACAGATAATCCAAGCCGGAATCCCACACAGTGTGCCTGCATAGACAGCAAAAGCCTAATTACGGCCCTTCTGGGCTCTCAGACTGACTTTTACAAAACCTCAGAAGACAGGCTTGACCTCCTCACATTTACTCTGTAAAATGCATGCAGTATCAAGCATCTGACAGTCCAAGAAGGTTTGCTGAAGCTTCAAATGAACCTTACAAACCAACCTAAGCTCCCAGGTGAACAAGCAGCATGATACAGCATTTATTTTTCTCAAGAAGAATGAGAAAAATTCTCATCCATGAGTCTTTAATTCCTTGAGGGGTAAAAAAAAGTAAGGGAACTCAGTGACTTAGAGCTTTGCTCCATCCCCAACCATCACCCCCAAAATGCAGCCATCTGAGGTGGAGATTAGCCTCCAGCCTTCTAGTCAGGCTGGGACTTCCCTTGAGTGACAGCTCCAAGTAAACAGAGTTCAGGTGTCTTATCACCTACACCTCCCTGCTACCTGCCAGCAAACACATTCTCAGTTATGGAAGGATCCCCCCCTCCAAAAAAAGAAATCTGTTTCAATACTGCTTTGCTCTCAGAAAAATGTATTCCTCAGTGATAAAATTCTAGGTAGCATCCCCCATCACATTATCAAAATACAGGGAGTCTTTTCGATGTATTTGCAACGACTGCATGCTCAATATTACTGTGAAAAAAATTTTTTAATGAGTTGAAATGTTTTTACCCAAAATTATTCCACTCATGGCATAAGTAACAGAACAGATGCTGACATTTTGCATGTAGATGGTTCCTCAGTGAAGCAGCACTTAATTAAGAATCGGGATTTGAGAGATTTCTGAAAATTTCATGTTCACCTTAAAAACACCAAACACTTAGTTCATTTTCTTTTTCATGAGCAAGGTAGTATGCTAGCCTAGCATCTTTTTGTTCCATTATTATTAAATGCTATAGAGACATTAACATTTTTTTGTTGTTGTTAAAGTAGGAAGTCTTGCAAACAAATAAAAGTTATATCATCTTTCTCCCAACACATACAGGACTTTAATACAGGAGCAATCTAAAGTTCAGAACTTTGCAAATATGCAAAGGATTTTAGCCATGAGATAAGTCTTGGTAATCAGTAAAACAGGCACTTAGGACCCAAGGGCGACTTCACACAGCAGCAGTCTCGTGTAGGTTTGGTGGAGGGTTGATGAAACATAGCTGGTGCTTTGGAAATGATTTTTTTTTTTTTTTTTTTTGCGGTACGCGGGCCTCTCACTGTTGTGGCCTCTCCCGTTGCAGAGCACAGGCTCCGGACGCGCAGGCTCAGCGGCCATGGCTCACGGGCCCAGCCGCTCCGCGGCATGTGGGATCTTCCCAGACCGGGGCACGAACCCGTGTCCCCTGCATCGGCAGGCGGACTCTCAACCACTGCGCCACCAGGGAAGCCCAATGATTTTCCCTTTTGAGTTGAAAACTTAACCAACGGCACAAACCCAAAGGCTCAATAGAAACACCTTAATTCTGGGACCAGAAAAATTAGGCCTAGGCTTTTGATTAAAAGCGGAGAAGACACAGGTTGGCACTCTGCTGACCGTCACTGCCGCCTGACCCTCTTTTTCCTTCCTCATCTGCTTCCCAGGCACACGCAACATTTATGTTAAAGGTTACAAAGGAGAGCAAGCAACCCCACGGTACTTCTCATCGTTATTTTCCTTTAGAAAGTTTTATGTTTTCAAAATAGATCAAAGCCTGGTGGAAATGCCAAAAATGTCTGCAACGGCAGATGGTGCCGACAGACCATTCCTGTGAATGCTTTTGGTGGCAGGTAACAGTGATAATTAAAAGCAGAAGTTATAATTAAAAGCAGAAATGGTCAAAGGATTTCGATAACAACATCTAGAGGCAGGGCTGTGATAAATATACTAAACAAGAGACTTGGAAACGCAATCGTACATATTTTTTATTATCAAAAAAGGTTAAAATTTCATTGCTGTTTTTAGCTAACTCAAACAACAGCCTGCAGCTTAAAGCTTATTCATTCACTGATTCAAGTATTTACTGACTATTCCTCCCCTGCTATGTAGTGTCCTGGGAGCCAAGAATCAGCTGTGAACATGACCAGTGAGCAATGACCAATGACAATCCCGCCCCTGAAGCTTACCTTGCAACGGTTGGGGGGGGGGGGGGACCCCCCTACCCTCCCCCCAACTAAAGCAAAATGCTGAAAACCACTTCTTACTGAACTTTATCTTAAAACGTATCAGCGATTTGACAGGCACCTGGAAGGAGCAACAGAGCTGGCCCTTACCTGCAGCGTTCTGCTAACCCTGAGTTCTTAAAGTTTCTCTGACAATGAAAAGGAAGTTTTCCTTATGCTGAAGTTGAATTAATAACTGACACGTTTCTTATGGTTAGCTTTTTTTTTTCCCATCCCATTTAAGAAAGCCTTCCCTACCCCAAGGTCTTAGACATATTTTTAGAGGATATTTTCTTCCAAAAGTTCTTAAGTTTTCCTTTCCACATTTAAGTATTTTATCCATAGGGACCTGGCTGTGGGCAAGGTGGGAGGTAGGGAATCTGTCCCATTTTCTGCCCTGTGGCTAAATATTGTCCCACAGGCCTTTGTGGGGGCAGTCCATTCTTCCCTTGTCAGACCTGGAATGCTGTCTCTTTCGTGTATCAGGACTCCGTGGCTGTGTGGATCCAGTATGTATTTTATACTCCATTCCCTTAGTCTATTTGTCTATCCCTGTGATTAAAACTCCTTTTAAATAAATCACATAGCACTTATTGCATTATTTGTCCTTATCAGGATAAATGTCTTATTTTTGGTAAGCTCGTAAGTCAGTCATGGCTATGACTTATTCATCTTTTTATTTCTTATAGCATCAAATTCAGTATTTCTAGACTATAAGCTTATTTGCTAAATAAGAGATGAGGTCAACAGCAATACTGATTCTTACCTATGGAGTCAAAAATACTCCCCCCCAGAAAATCATTAGCTCAACAGAACAAAGCTTACGCACGAGTCAACTCTAATTTCTTGTTTTCGGTATTCTTGACGCTCTGGCATCTGGGGCCTCCTTGACCAGGAAGGGACTGCCCATCCCAGGGTTAGTTAATTCCTAGAGATAGCAAACAACTCCCCAGGGAGTGGGTCTTCCACATGCAAACCCCACAATCCCAAACCCAGGCCTCCCACCTACCTCCTCTGTCCAGCTCTTGCTATCAAGGGGATGCCCCTGTGCCCTCATCACCATGGGGTCCGGCACCAGGCAACCAGGGCCAGTGTCTGTGCTCTAGGGTCTGCTGAAATTATCCCAACTAGCCACTCCCGAGTCTGCATAGCCTGCCTTGCCTTCCCTTTCCCGTGCAAACGACAGTAAAGGCTGTTGCCCACGTTTTCCCCTCTCTTCCTGCCCCTAACCCTTGTGCCTCCTCATGTGCCCCCCTGCATGGCATGTCGTGCCCCTATTTCTATAAACTTCTTCCTTCATGACAATCATCTCCATGTCTCCATGTCTTGCCATACAAATCCCAGACATATTGTGAAACAATGCACCATAAATTTAGCTGTTATTCTTAGAAAACATGAAATGATTTAAATAAGAAAGCAAATATAAAACTGAACTGTTAGCTTGCCAATGATAAAGGAATTTAAGATTTTGGAAGCAGTTTACTATTCTAAGCATTTGATAACTGGTAGGATTATTCAACGAGAAACAGAGACACACTCAAATTGTTGGATCACTCTCTTTGTGTGTCCTGGAGATCAGGGAAACATGAGTTTTATTTTGTCCATTTATGAAGAAATTGTTCTCCTAAGAACAGAAAGTTAAATTCAGAACTGCGATAATCCTTAAACCTTATCATATTACGGTTTGTCCTTTTCACAGATGACAAGATGAACTATTGAACTGAGTGTACTGATTCTCGATATTAGAATTTCAAAGAAGAACTAAGTATTTGGAGGAGTTAATCACAACAGAGAGTGCATCATATAAAATTACCTCACACGAGTTTATTAAATTGAGCGGTCCCATGCACACTCTGAGATGGGATCAGAACTAATCTTTCCAGAGGACAGACAAAAGACGTAATCACCCCATTTTCTTTCCTTTCAATAAAACTAATTAAAACTAGTCCTTGTTTAAGTAAATTCAACTTACTGAAAATTCAGTATTGCCTTTGATAGTACCACGAAGATGATTTCCGTTGGACAATCTGTATATTGGACCCAAAGAAGCCATTTATTCCACAAATGTGTTAATAATTCTCAAATAGTTCAGAGGGGTTTGCAGCTGTAATTTTAACAGCAGCATAGAAGAAACGAGCAGGCACAGCGCTGCATCTGGAGTCAGAACACTTTGGAAGCCAGTTCCAACTCCGGCACTTACTCCCCAGCGAGACAACACAATTTCTCTGGGTCTCAGCTTCTCCATCCCTAGAACAGAATTTGTATGACTTGGCCTGCTTACCATAAAAATCAAAGAGGATGCCTCAAAGTTCCTTGTAAACTGTTAAATCCCTTATAAGTTTATGGTATTATTATTCAAAATCATTATACATGTCTATGTATCACTATATATATGAAGAATTTTAAATCATTTCCAAAAGAACCACACATTTGAGAAGCACAAATTATCAATACTACCCAATAATTTATAAAAGTCAGCACATGGCTTTGCCAATCTACCATTGGCAGATGTGAATACTTAGACCAAAAATGTCCACTATCTCTTAAGGACGGCATATACAGCATTATAAGGTAATGCGTTACTCATTTACAGTTAGCTGGTTTGTTTTTCTCTGCTCGTTTTTCTAGTCTTAATTAAGATACACATTAAATACACATTAAGATTATTCTCCTTGGTCTTATCTACCTCATAGATAAAAGATTTTATCCAACACTAAGTTTTACCCAAAACTAAATTTTACGAAGTTTTTATGTTACTCCGTTAGGAACTTCCAAAAACATCAGGGACTGGTTAAATTTTATATCGTAATTAGTGAAAACCAGTTTGCCTGGTTAAAAAAAACAAAAACAAAAAACTAAGTTCAAAGTTTTGCCTTGACTTCTAATTTTAAAATGGTTTTTAGCATTTTAATACCACTTTTTACTCAACATGTGCTTTGTGGCTTGCTGTTGTTCTCATCAAGGACGCCTATGGATGCAGGAATGCAGTGAGCCAGGAGGGAAGTGGCCATGGTCGGCATCGCCCTCGCTGAGCTCCTAGGAACACTAGTCTCTCCTGACACTTAGCAAAACAAAGCAAAACAGAAACCCAACTTCTCTTGGTGTCCCCGTCCTCCCCTGTCACAAGGTAAGGGAACTGAGCCTTTAGAGGTTCACTTTCCCAGGGTCACAGGATGTGTGTGCGTGCGTGTGAAGAGCTAAGACTGCAGAGTGCTTCCACACATACTGCTCTGCGCTCTTGACTCAGGTGCTCACTCATTGATTCCTGCAACGACCCATAATACAGACGATTCCTACCCCACTCTACAGAAAAGAAACTGAAGGACAGAAAGATTCACTGGCTCAAGGCCACCCTGCAATTCCTTGGCAGAGCCTGGATGCAGACCCAGAAAGTTCGGATCTGTAATCTATTCATGAATCTTAGAAATACAGATACTCAAGGGAAAAAAGCTGCAAAAATACAGAATATTACAACATTTTTCAAAAGCTTAAAACCAGAATTAAATGATGTAGTGTTTGAGGAGACAGATATTGTGGTAAAATTATAAAGAAGTTAAGGGCATGATTTTAGGAAGAATTGGGGACAGGGTCACAGGATGACGGGAGGGGAAGGACTTGAGAAGGGCCTGCTGGGGCCTCACTGGTGGGGCAGCTGTTCTACTTCTTACACGGGGTGCAGGTTTGCTGGTGTTCATTTGATTACTACAGTCCCTAACTTACACATGCCTCACAACTTATCTTGTATATATCAAACATTCTACAGTAAAGTTAAAGAAAATAGTAATCAATAAGCTATCCAAATTCTTTAACTTATCCTGGATTTAGGACACATGTCAGTTGGAAAAATCACTCTTCTCTGTTTCCAGAGTAAATCACATTTGGTCACGGATCGCAAAGCCTTGGCATGAATATCAGAGACCTCCTCCCACGGTGGACAGTGGGTGTCGGCACGGCAGGCCTCCTCCCTTTTCGACCACTGTTTCAGCACCCTCTCCACATAGGACTCTGCAAATTCACAACTGATTATGAACAGGGGGTTGGGGCCGGCGCACCCATGTGGGAGGAGGGAGCCCCCATCATCATTGTGCTGAGGGACCCCTAGAGTTCTTGCAACTGGCAAACCCTGGGATCTCCCAACCGGTGTTAGCACCGGCGCCTCTTTTCGAAGACGCAGTTGGTTACCTGTGAGGTTGGAAGCATCCGTGGGACTGAGCTGTAACCAGTGGCGGGCATCGGAGTCAGTCACAGCATCTGTGGGCGTGCTCAGTTCCGGGTCTTCCTCGCAGATCTGCCACGGGCTCAGGGACAGCTCTGCCTCGGTGTTGCAGCCCAGAGCAGGGTCACTGCTGACACTGTCACCTGGCACAATGGGAGACACAGTCTGAGACAGCCAAGAGCAAGGAACCAGTATGTCCACAATCCCAGCACACAGGGAACTAAGCAGCTGTCCCAGCAGGAATCGTTCTCAGGACAGAGGCTCAAAAGGTGCCTGCGTGGGGCTCCTGGTCAATGAAACAGAGGTTCCAGGCGTGGGGCACAAGCAGTCCTTATGGGCCGTGCCACCTACAGCCCAAGCCGCACCTATTCAGGGGTCTTAACTGAGTTCCCCCAGGTACGGAGAAGATCACCTCGAGTTCTTACGCTTTCTACCCTGACTTATTCAACTACAAAACGGGGGTGGGTGGAGGAGGGGAGGGGAATTGATTCCACCACAGAAGCGAGTTTATTCTGGCAGGCTGAAGAGCCCGAGGATGCCTTCCACCTCATGCCTCACGTCTAGACTTGAACCTGGGGTGAATCACCCAGGATTACCGGGGGATGAGGGGTCCCACACAAAAGGTTTTCTTCAATAGAGACTCTCCCCTTTAAACACTAAAAAGTTCTAATTTGTCATGATACAAGCACGCTTTCAAAGGCTATGAAGCCTCACAGGACTATTCAGTCTGACGCAGAACAGACCCAGCCAGCCTGCCCCCCAAATCCCGTCTGCTCCACAAGGACTCGGGGTGTCCGCCCTCTCTGCCTGCAGCTCTGCCGGCTGCGTTTCGATCTGCCGCTGACAGTCCCCCAGCCCTGCCGCTTCTAATCTGCTGTCCGCTCTTCACCTGCAGAGAACTGACAGCTGTCCCAGTCCCCAACCTGCTCGGTCCCTAACTTTGACTGCCCCAGGACTCTAGAAGGTGGAGCCTAAGAGGCCCTGCTCCGCCCTCCACCAGGATCCGCCAAGAAGGAGGGGCCCTGGCAGTAGACCTCAGGGAAGCGGAGTATCAGGGACTGCGTTTCACAGTATGTGATGGTACGTCTCAGCATCCCAGTCAGATTTTATTTTTTAAACACTTATGCCATTGACTTCAAGGTACTTCTGAAGCTTTTGCTCCTAACCTGGGGAAACTTTCTGGGGAAGGCCATTTTTCCTTCTGGGTCTGTCTGCTCACCCAGACATCAACCTTGGTTGTGCTTCTCACCTGGAGAAAGTCCCAGGGCTGGAAAGACAGGCCTCGAAGGTATAGGTAACTGACTGGATCTATTCAACTGTATGTGCACACTAACCACCCATCATCCTGGGATCCCAGGAATAAAGATGTCCCATTTCACAACCACGTGTCTTCAGATGATAAGATATCATTCGAGTTAGAAAGTCAAAAGGGAACAAAATGCAGCCTCGCCGAAGCTGGAGGAACACAGACCACATTTGCTGGCACTTACTCTTCTGTCTCCCTCTGTATCTTCCTTGCGTCTGCTGCAAATCATCTTTCAAATCCAATTCAGCGGGGCTGCTGCTTCTTCGTACTGAGATCTTCAGACAGAAAGAAATATTGCATTTGGTACAGGGAAGTTTTCATTTTTATAAGACCGGTAAGTTTCTAGTCCACATTTCTAAAGAAAAAGAAACAAACAATAATAACGGGCAAGAAAAAAACTGAATGACGTTTTGCATTGGAAGGATACGGGTTCACAAATTACTATAACTGAATTATAAATTACACAAGATCTGAAATTTAAGGCTTCTGCTTTGTCAGTTGACATCCAATTAAAATGGTCTACTGAGGAGGGGTGCCAAGTTATATGGAAATCGTTTATTTTGAAATTCTACTTGTACCTCTTCTCTGGCACACATGGATAACGGATACAATCCTCCAGGAAGCCTAAGTCCCCGTGGATGGCCAGGGTGCTGGCAGGGAAGGCAGAAACTCCACCCAGACTCCCAAAGGTCATTCAGTGCTTCCCTCGTTACGTGTGCAGCAGGCTTTCCTGAGCACCGCTCAGCACTGGACCGTGGTTTAAAAACAGGGGACTAGAACACTGTGAGGCAATTCGCATCCTCTAAAATTTACATAACTGGCTTGGAAAGACAAAACATACACAAATTACACAAAACGGTTACAATGCAGAGTAGTAAAATATGCGAGTCAACTTTCTCTAAAAGGTTTGCAGAATAAAGCATTACCTTGATCGGCTCACAGTGACAGTAGCTGTTCAAGAAGCAACAGACATGAGGTGGTAGAGAGAAGGCAGGAGGGGACTCAGGGCAGGAAGCACTGAGGAATCAGCAAGTTCTACGTGCAGGAAAAGAAGCCGATTATAGCAGGCCATGCAGGGCAGTCAGGTGAAAATGGTAGGAAGAAAATGCGACCACCTTCTACAAAGAGGCAGCTGCCAGTGGGCTGCCAACATCAGGCTTAGGAATTTCAACCCAGTATTGACAAAATGAGCAACTGTCTGTTCCAGACAATAGCTTACTGTGATTAAAAACAAAACGAGAAATCGAGTGGCTATCTGCAGGACAGAGTTAAGAAGTTGCTATGGAACTGTTACAGTGACCCAGGAGTGAGCAGATAAGGCTTTTGATGGTAGAAAAGGAGAAGAAAAGATAAATTTAAAAATGCTGCAGAATGACAGTCAAGAGCTTATATGAGAGCTTATATAAGAGTTGTACATGGGAGTGGAAGTTTAATCACAAAAGGATATGAATCTAGGGGACCATGAGAATGATGGTGACGACGGAAAGAAGGAAAGAAGGGAGAGAGGGAGGGAGGGAGGGAGAAAGGAAGGGAGGGAGGACGGACGGATGGACAGACAATGGATAGAGGAACTTGAGAAAGTTTCTGATATTTTAATTTTCATCTTTGGGCTGAATATCTAAAGAGAATGTGCTATAAGTGTGCAACAAAAATCCACGACTGGTGAGATGGAGGATACAGCCAGAAATGAAGATATATATTTAAGGCCCTCCAGTTCAGAGTATACGAAAAACATGGGATTCAATGAGCCAACTAAAGGAATGAATATTAAACAAGCAAACACATGAAAAGGGGGGACTAAGATGTATAATTAAAGGACAGAATAATTATTAAGCTAAAACACAGAAGTAGGTCATAAATATTTAGAAGATTAACAGTATATGAAAAAAATATTACTCAGCCTTAAGGAAGGATAATATATGTCTAATATGACAGTGGAAATATACCCAGGATACTTCCTTAATTGAAAAGCAGAATGTGGGCTCTTCTGCTTCTGATTCTCTGAGGGATGAAATATCCTCCAACTACAGAACTAGAACCTACATAAAAATTTGGGGCTCACAGGAAGGAAAATAAACCTCCAAGTGATCCACACCCTCTCCCTACCCCACAAAGCAAACTGAAACCAGGGCAGTGAAATGGGGCTACTTTAGGGGTAAATCTAATGTTACCACTCCCTGTGGCAAAAGGACCAAGAGTCCAGGATTAATAGCACTCACTGTTTCCTGGAAGAAACAAATGAAAATGTTGCCCTGGTGAAACTTCATCACGTCAGATATCCAGGTTTTCTGTAGATTCAGATGAGCCAGGTAGGAACTCACAATCAAAGATCACCAAACAGCAAAGGAAATAAATAAACCACCATGCACAAGAGTCTCAGAAACAACAAATATCAGACTGATTTCAGATAATGATAAAGAATTTAGAATTTAGAATAAAATAATCTGTGATTATTTTAAAGGAATAAAAGATGGCAATCACAAAAATGAGCAAGCAACAAGAGATTATGAGAGATTGCAAGATATACTTGAAAAGAATTAACCTGAACTTGCAGAAGCAAAAGGTATAAGTGTTGAACCAAAATACTGAATGAAAGTATTAAACAGCAGACTAGTTATGAGTAAGGAGAGAATTATTGAACTGAGTGAAGATCTGATGAACTACCCAGAATGCACCCACATAGCCAAGGAGAATGGAAAATATGAAAGGGGGCTTGAGAGACATGGAAGACAGAATGAGAAGGTCTAAATATATTTCTACCCAGAATTCCAGAAGGAAAGAGCCAGAGAGAACAAAAAAGAGGCAATATTTGAAGAAATGGTTACCAAGAATTTTCCAGAAGCAATGGAAGAACAAGTATTCAAAGACACATGGCACATATACCATATCCAAACCAGGACAAACGTATAGACCAAAAGAAAATGCACCTAAATATACTGTGGTGAAACTGAAGGACAAGGATTAAGAACAACAAGGAACAACAAATAGACAGGATGGACAGAAGACCTCTCAACAGCAACAATGAAAGACAAAAGATAGTAGAAAAATAGCTTCCATTAGAAGGGGTGGGAGGAAGGAAGAAGGAAGTGGGGGGACTATGGTAATTAAGACAGAGACAAAGAAACCAATGATTCAAGAAGCACCAAAATAAAACCTTACACATCTGGGAAGCAGTATATATGAGAGAAAGGTAGCATTCAGATTAATAAAGGAAAAATGAATTCAATATATGGGACCCAGAAGTGGATATACATGTGGGGAAAGAAAAATGAAATTGATCCCCACCTCACTCCATAAATATCAACTCTAGGTAGCTGAAAGACTTAAATGTATAAAGCAAAACTGAAACACTTATAAATACAAGGTAAATACTTTTATCCCTGTGCAGTTGATATTTTAAAATTTTCATAAAACATAACCACAAAAATGATAACCAAGAATATCAAAATTAAGAACTTCTGTTCATCAAAAGACAACATAGAGAAAGTGAAAATATATGCCAGACACTGGAAGAAGATATTTGCCAGAAACATAACCAACATAGGATCAGTATTCAGATTATATAAAGAATTAGTACAAATAAAAGAGAAAAAGACAAAGAAATCAATAGGAAAATGGAAAAGACATCAGTAGGCATTCAACAGATGAAAGACATACGGCCAATCAACATAAGGAAAGATTTTAAACTTTATTAGTAATTTGAGAAATGCAAAATAAAATGAGATCCCATTTCCACCCACCTGACTCAAAAGATTTAAAATCTGACGATAGTAAGTGTTGACAAGAATGTGGATGAATGGTAACTCTACACACCGCTGGTACATAAGTGGTACAATCACTTTGGAAAAAGACACGTTCTTTTGTAAAGGACAACATTATGCTGCTCTGTGACTCATCAATTCCACTCACATTCTTGATGAAGAATGTACATAGCTTCATTTTTCATTTAAAAAAAAAAGTGAAACAATCTAAATGTCTGTCAACAAGAGAATGGGAAAGTAGGTTGTGGTCTATTCACAGTGGAGTATCACACAGCACAGAAAGCAATGAACTAGGGCTACGTGCTGCAATGTGGACTTAGAAATACATAATAATGAGTGAACAAAGCAATAATACCACTTTTATAAAGTTTAAAAATAAGGAAAACTAAAGGACATATTGTTTGGAGATACATACATTTTGAGCAAAACTATAGAGCAAAGCAAAGGACACGATAAACACAAAGCCAACAGAAAGCTGCTCTCTGAGGGACCAGGATGAAGCCCACAGGCCACGGCAACAACATTGCAGATATTCTAGTTCCTAGGCTGGTGGTGAGCCTCTGGGTGTTTATCTGATTATTGAAATATACACATATAATATACATATACATATGGAATGTGCAAACTGGTATATGTCCTTTACAGAAGTGAAGACAGAGGAAATTTAACACTCATTAGCTTCCAGGCAGGGCAGAGTAGGGAGAGACTTTCTTTGTTTATTTTGTACCTTTCAGTGATGTCTGAGTTTTCTATTCATATATACTAATCTTAGAAAATGAATAAATAGGAATTATCTGCATGAATGAGTTAGGGTTACTTTTTAATTTTCTTCTTTATACTTTAAAGTTGTGTTTTTAAAAAATAATAAATGCTATTTTAGATTAAAAAAAAAAAGAAACTGTAACAGATCTTTGCAGCATCTCACTTATCTAGGAACTCATGTCAGGTGGAGGCTACAACCTAAAGTGGTATCAGGAATAGGGAATCTGAACGTTTGTTTGAAGGTAAGGATGCTCCTTAAAAATAGAAAGGGCACATACAGACCAGATGGTAAATTCTGTTTTCACGTTTATTTTTTCCCTAGTTTTGTAATTTGACTGTAATTTTACATAGAAAGTAGGCAAGGCTTTAAAAGGCCTCAAGGTCATTTGGCCCTAAAACACATTCAAATGGAAAAAAGTTTTAAAAGATAGCATCACACCACTAATAAATTTATGTATTGTGCCAATAATCTGTATGTTTATTTTTAATGACAAATGGATATATTTTGAAAAGATCTTACTGTTATTCCTTCATGTTCTTTCTTCTCATGTCCTTTGTTCTCCTGAACAGGCCTGGGCTCTGAAGAACTCACATTCTGTGCATTTTCTACCTTTTGACCTAGAGATTTGGGAGACGGGAGAATCAACAGCAGGAATACTTCAGATGGTAAAAACTGGAAAAGGTTTTTATACATAGGTAATTATTAAATTTAAGTATCCTAAGATATACAAAAGAGAGAGATCTGGGCCCAGCACACTGGTAGCCTATGGATCACGTCTGCTCCATAGACCTGGTCTCTGACGCACAGACAGCTTCACTGTCTTGGGTTACGTTACCCAGGGGGCAGGCAACAAGAGCCTCGGGGAAGGGGTCTCAGACAAGAGCTGCCTGAGTCAGCCAGGCAAGCTGAAGGGGAAAGGAAGCAGTGAGGTGGCTCAGCATTGCTGGCGAGAGAAATAACCAGTGTCAGTAATAAAAAAGGGAATATCACCACCAAGCCTGCAAAAGGTAATTTAAAAGATCACATTCTATGAGTAGTCTGGGGCCAATAAATTTGAAAAAAAAAATACACGAATTGAACAAATTCCTAGGAAAAAAACACAACTTATCCAAAAGAAAACAGGAAAAAGAAAATATGAATAGTCATAGTGATTTAAAAATTTGAATAGTACTTTAAAATCTTCCTAGAAGAAAACTCCAAGCAACCGATGGATTCTACCAAGTATTTAAGGGGGAAAAAAAAGTCATAATGATCTTACACAAAGACTTTTGGAGAAGAGAAAATCTTTCAGATAATACATTTCTCAAATTATTTTTATCGTATTTTCTTATCTCAAGAGGATTTCTAAGAGGGGATACTTCCTACGCATTTGACGAGGCTGGCATGACCCTGACATTAAGGACTAGGGGACGGCTGGGTTGATTTCTTCTCCAACCCATGAAACTAAATAAGTGTGTTCACTGTTGCAAGATACGTTTAAACATGTGCTTTCACTGTAAAATACATTAGTCACTGTTTACAGGTCTAACCATCTGCCTCTTTGCCCTCCACACCAGTTGCTGCTAAAAGCTGTTGGAGAAACTGTGTGGGTTAATGCTATTACAAGTTATTATGTTCAACCTCAGCAGACTCTGCACGCTGCTAATAAACTTCTTCACGAGTCTGGTCAGCCTTCCATTCTCACTGTCGACGTTTCTCCTCGCAGCCCTTTCCTCACCCCTCACACCTCTCCTCCCTGCCTCCGCCCTAACTTGCTGCCCTCCCTCACCCGTGGTGAACATTCTCTACCTCCCACCCACTCCAGCCACTCTGGACTTTTTTCTAGTCCTCAAACATGCCACACTTGAAAAAAGTACACACACACACACACACACACACATAATTTGGATAAACAGATTAAAATAAGTAGTTAAAATATTTCATTGCCAGAAATCACATCCTTGCAAATCAACTTATAAATTCCCTTGAAATAAATAGAGTAGAGTTAGGATAAATGTAGAAAGCCACACGACATGCAGCCCCTTCCCGGCCAGAATCTACGGTCCCGTGTGAGTAAGGGAAGCTGCTGGTACCCGGAGGGGCCTCTGAGCACAGTGGCTCCGTGACGTCAGGGCTGCTGCTGCTCCGAACCATTGGCTGCTGCTCGGCTGCTGCCAGGGGGCCGGATTCGGCTGCAGCTGCATTTTCCGGCTGCGGGCATTCTTCTACTTCTGTGGGCATTGACACAGAACATGCAGGGATGTATTTCAAGATTTTTAAAAATAATTTCACTACTTAAAACAACTGATTCTCAAAATCATAGTTTTAGATACTATTTTTTTCCACAAAAATTGTGCAGTAAGATCACTGTCTTTCACATCATAAAGTTTTCTACACTTGTTAACAGTAATATTCCACTCCAAGTGTACATCTGCTTTTTAAGTTCTACAAAGCATTTTCTTTCAATCAAAGTGAAGAAAACAAGAAGGGAGAGCGAGCAGAATGGTTGAGGACTGTGAAAGTCACTGGAGTTTCAGGGACAGGCATGTCAAGGGAAGAGGGATCCGGGAGATGCGAGGGAAGGTCACTTACATGTGCAAGAGTGGGACATCACGCGCACACACGCGCGCGCGCGCACACACACACACACACACACACACACACACCCTAAAGGAAGCTAAAAAGAAATGGGAATTTCAACTTGATTATTCTTTTTAAGAGATAAATGTACAACTGTCTAAAATAAAATACTGTAATTATTTAATGACATTTCACCAAATGCAAGGTTGAATTAATCACTAAAGTACAAAAACGACCCATTGGTGTTTTTAGAGAATCAATAAATATATGTCATAAAATAGAAAACCACAGCTGAGCACTGACCACTGGGTGATCCCAGCTAGGATATCTATGAACCATATTCCCCTAAAGAAGGGAAGTCCCTCCGAGCTCGTTTCTAAACTTCACGGTTCATTTTAATCTCCAAAGACAACCCAAGGTGCACCACCTCTCTGCAGCTCCGGAGTTCTATCATCCCTCTGCTCTGGCATTACCATCAGACCCCTAACTTGTGGCCTCAGAGAGGTCCCGCTACAAGAGAGATGCGACCGCGCCACTCCTCCTGCGGAGGCCCCAGGCCCCCATCACTGTCCGTCAGGCTTGCACTCCAGGGCCCCTAGAGGTCACCCCACAGGCTTGATCCCCCACCAGGAGCTCTCCCTCACTTTAGTCGTGAGCAGGCCCTGCCCACACAGCCCCTGCAGCTCCCCCCTTGAGGCTGACCTCCCCCGGGCCGCCCAGGCACCCCTCCTGTAGGACTTGCCACGTGGTCCTTGCGTGTGACCCCCACCGCTGCCTGTGCCCCAGGCTCCACACTCCCCCGTGCAGTCACGGAACTCTACACCCAGATTTTCCCCAAATTTTCATTAGCTGAAGTTTCAGTCCTTTTAAAAAGGGACTCATCAAAATTCAGCCTTACCTGGAAGTGTCACCTGCTTCCTCACCTGAAATGCAACTCGCCACCAAGATGCCCCCATTCTGTGTAACCCTTTCACCAGAGCCACAATCCAAAGGGCTGGTCGGCCCCAACCAGGAAGGTGTATGTAGGAAGGTTCTAAATATAACACGGAGGATTTCACCAAAGGACTGCTGCTTTTATTTTTACTATCCACATAAAAGCTCCATTTTTTAAGTACACTGATACAAGTTACCAGGCCTCAAAACCATGAGATGTGTGTGATCCCTCGCTTATAATGCAAAGTCCTGGGCCACATTCTCCATTCAGATACTGATGGGAAGCTGGGCTTAGGGGACAAGCAGAGTAAGGGAAGGTGGCAGGAGCAGACAGACCCATTACAGCCTCATCTTTCCAGGCTGTCTCTGCTCTTCCCTGCTCCTGAACAGCCACGAGAAACACCGGACATCCTAAGTGCTCTGGGATGCTCCGCCCAGCATCCCGGAGCAGAAACCAGCCCCCTCGGCTCTACTCCCAGGCTCCTCAGCAGCAGGCAACAGAAGCCAGATGACTCCGCGGACCATCCTTCCCACTGTCTTCTTTCATTGTTTATTCTAGTTATGCAAGATACTGACACCTTCTGGGAAGGGTTTCTACTTGTTAATGAACCTGCTTGTAAATCCCAGTCAGCAGGTCAGCAGAGGGAGCCCAAGAGCTTCCTACTTCTCTAAAAGATAATTGGCACCCGCTGGTCCTTATGGACAGTGGGAAGAGTGGGTTTTATTCCCTTAAACGTGATGCCAAGAACTGGTAGATGTTGATTTCTGGCCTCTGAGCAGAAACAAATAAGAGCGGGGCCAACAGTGGCAGCATCATTTTCAAGATAAAGAACGACGCCATCTGGTGGGATGCAACAGAGCCACAGGACCACGGCTTCCAAACTCGAGTGTCCCCACTGGTCCTCAGACAACAGACAGACGAAGAGCCTGCCATGGCCAGCTGGTCTGCCTTCCCAACAGGCTGGCCTGATGTGGCTTTAATGCTCTGTTTTTGTAAACCTGTTGGTAGGGCCTTCTCAGATGGAGGAAGTCCAAGCCTGAAGAAACCATGGGAAGAGGTGGGACGGGAACCGCCGAGAAGAGTGGGAGGGAAGGGGAGAATCATGGGTCCAGGGATCTGTCAGGCTGTGTGGGGACGGTGCCCTGAGCTGTCCCTGTACTTGGCTGTTATGTTGACAGAGTGTGAAAAAAAAGGATATAAATTCTCCTTATCCCACAAGTTATATATATGTACACTTTTTGGCCTTTTCTCATACTTTGTACTAAGTATATACTCAAGATTTGTTTTGTATAGATGAACAAATGAATATCAGAAACATTTTCTTAATACCTTTTTCCTCTTTCTTTTTTAAACAGTTCTCGAGCTCCCTCTGCTGGCTTTTTATTTTTGTTAAGGCTGCACCCCTTCTACAGGATCAGCTGTAGCAAATGCTCTTTCATAACAGATTAAAACCATTTAATACTGATATGCAAATATCAAGGTAGAGGATTATCTGACATGCAAAATATAAAAAGGACAGTCTAGGTTATATAAAAATTGCGTTATAAATTTTGTGAGGTCTAATGCATTCTCTGTTTTGACTATCACACAATTTGAATCACTTCAAAGAGCTGAATTCTATGTCAGATTCACCGAATCATTTACTTTCTCTCAAGCAGAGCTAACCCAATAACCCAAACTCTGAAAGCACCAACTTTCTGGCTTCTTGATAGTGTACGTTACACAACACCAACACCATTACTAAATCATTGCTTTCTAAAGCTCATTCAAAGCACCAGAAAAATGATCGAATAAGGATTAATTTCATTTTTTCCCACACTGAGAGAAGAATTGGCATGATTAAATTAAGTGTGTAAACTCTTCAGAAACTTCTATTTATTCAAGAATCTGACTACTTTTCAAAAGAAATTTCATTCACTCTTTAATCTAAGCCTTCCTTAATCCATCTTATTAAACATACTGAGACTCATTCTTCAATCACCAAAATTCTGGGTTCCATTTACCCCTCATATGAGGTTGCACAAGCAAAATTAATTGTGCCATTTCCTAACTTTTAAAGCACTGTGCACAAACCAAGCTGACCCTATGAAAAGCACAAGAGACATAAATCAACTCAACATCTTGACGTGTCCCACGAGGACCACAGGTGAATCAGCCCGAACCCTGCCCACAAGCACATCCTGATAACTGGGCGCTACCTGGAAGCCAGAGACCCAGATGCGTACACCGCAAAGTGAGACTTTCAATCAGGTCCCGTTAAGCCTCTTTTGGAATGAGGGAAGATCACTGATCCTCTAATTACTACTATTACGATATTCCCCAAAGAAAAATAAAATCTACCATCTGCATGGCCTGTAAGTGCTACAGATTGATAAATGTCCCAACATAAAAGCAGTTAAAATTGCAAAACAGCTAGAAAGAATTGTTTCCACAAAGGAGAAAAAAAGGAAATCACTGAAACTGCCAGTTCCACCCCCACATGTTCGTTTACGCAGCTATTCATACTAATTAACAGAATACAGGTGGTTGTGACTGTCCCAAAGTTCTGCTGCCACCAAACAGAGAGCCCAAAGGGATCAGAATAAGACATCATAGTGGGTGAAGGTAAGTAACTCTCTGTAGTTTCGGTTATTAAAACAATTTTGGTGGGTTGAATAATCATATAGACAAGGAACAAAACCAAGAAATGTTAACTTAAATGAAAACAAAATTAGCAATCACCTTCTAGTAAAGAGCGTGTGTCCAGAAGGTCAACATTAAAATTGCCTGTGTATCATGCACATGCGATGTATGCCTACTACGTCTGTATTCAGCAAAAGGTTAGCAAGATATGCCAACACCAGAATTCAAACTGGAGCACACGTTTAATTCTCTCGCGTGCCAGTCAGTGGCAGAAGCACAATCTCAGACTGGGGACTGACGTGCATCACTCTGGGCCCAGACTCTTGATAGGACAGTTACATGGGACCGTGGCTCACTTTTCTGGTAAAGAAGAAATGGCTTCAGATGAGGGAGGAGCTTGCGACTGTGGTTTTCAGATGAAACAGATCAGCAGATCGTCCTCAAAGTCACCATAGTGCTAGGTCCCTTCACCCTTTGTGCTGTAAAACCAGTAGTGAGGATGGCAGAGGCCGGAAAACACGGACCAAACATGGCCTGCTTCACTCCACGCTAAGTCGGGGTCTCTCAAACCTCAGCATCACTGATATTTTGGGTCAGACGGTTCTCTGTGGCGGCTGTCTTCTCCACTGTAGGATGGTTAGCAGCATCCATCCACTGGATGCCGGTGGCACGACCCCAGCTGTGACAACCACAGATGTCTCCAGACATTGCCACATGTTCCCCGGGGGGCAAATCATCCCCAGTTGAGAACCCCTGCTCTAAATCCTATTCTGCTTCTGTTGGAACTGTGTATGTAAATATAGGAATCAAGAATCCGAGTAAACTAAAATATAATAATGAATGAGAAAAAAGCTTCCAAAATGAAATTACTAACAGGAGAAGATTTCTTGTGAGAACACATTCTGGACAAACTAGTTAAAAAAACTTAAACAAAATGGGAAAAAGTGGGTTGTGAAGAAAGAAAACTTTTCACCATGCAAAAAGTTCCTTATGGATGTATATCAGCCAAATAGAAAGCCAAAGTATTTTAAATACTTTATTAATCATCTCCAGGCAGGAGTATTTTTTGGAAAACCAAATTATGAAGCAGTTAAT